CCCCCCCCACCAAGGCTTCCCACCAGCCTCACAGCACAAGCATTTTGGGCTCAGGGGGCTTCCCCCAATTTGTCAGTGTCCCCCTTAAAATATCCTGTCCAAGCATGACACTGACCAGAGGCTTCTGTCCCTGTGGGGGGTCAGAGGCCTTCCTTGGGGACCAGTCTGAACATGACCGGAAGGTGGCTCTGGAGCCTGGCTCAGGGTCAGATCCCCTGTCTGTAGCCACGAGTCTCTGAAACGCTATTTAAACTCCCCGAAGCTCAGGATACCATGACAGCACCTGTCTCAAAAGCACTGTTAAAGGAGCTAATCCACAGAATGTGCTTAGGACAGCCCCGGTACATGACAGGGGGCTCATGTCACAGAAGCAACACATACAGCTGTCACTGGCATTGTCCTCAAACATAATGACCTCAGGTTTGACAGCTCTCCTTGGTCCCTGGGGTCAACCGGCCAGGGTTAGGAGTGACTTCCAGGTGGATGGAGGGGCTGTGCTTATCACACTCTTTGGAGTCCGAGGGCTGCAAGCATCTTCCGGTCACACCCGCCTCCCTCCCCCACAGTGACAGCGGGGCTCCTAGCAAGACCTTTACAAGGCCCTGCAGCCGGCTTATCTGACCCGCTGCTGCATTCACAGGCCACTCCCAGGCAGCTATCCCAGGGAAGCTGTGTGCCCTGGCTTCCCAGCATCCCAGCCTGTCTGCGGAATTCTCCCACCCTGCCGCCACCCCTCCCTTCCTCTGCACAGCTGATACTGAAGGCCAACCAGGGAAAGCAGACGTGGCCCAGCCAGATTTGTCCCAAACAAGCCAGAAGGGCCGTGGGTCTGGACGAGGGGCCGGGGAGGCCTGGGGGCACAGCCGCTGCACCGTACAAGGGCGCAAACCCTGCCGCCTCCTTCCTAGTGCTCACACTGCAGCCCGCTCCACCCCCAGCCGTCCCAGCGGGACCAGCCACTCTGGGGCCAACACGAGAATAAACACCAAAGGAGGAACAGACGCATGTCCTGTGCCTCAGGCCTTGCGGGGCCCAGCGAGTCTGCGGGACAGGTCGAGGTCACCGAGGACCGGCCCAGAGGGACTCAGCTGGCAGGTCCAAGGAGGCAAATGTAAACCCCAGAGCTCCCGGGTTGCTCCCATGGTCCTGCATCTTCCAGTGGAGATGCTGGGGACAGGGGCCTTTGTGGAGGAAGGACAATGTAGGACACCAGCCTGGGGGCCACACGGCTCTGAGTCTGAATCCTCGCTCAGCATGAATGGACCGAGCAGATCCAGCAGACTCGCCTGGTCTACAGCAGCGCACACCCCTCCACCCCCGACCCCTCTACAAGAACTCTGAGGTGACCACGGTCATGTGTCCAGTACGCCTGCCACCAGCTACGTGTGGACACTGAACCCTGGAAGTCGGGTAGTGACTGAAGAACAGACTTTCTAATTTTATTAACTTTATTTAAAAGCCACATGTGGCTGCTGGCTACTGTGCTGGGCAGCACGGGCCTAACATGTAATTTCTGTGTCATGGAGAAAGCAGGCTACCCAGCCCTGTTAGTTATCGCGAACAGGGAGCAAGATGGGTTGTGTAAGTGCCTGGCACGTCACAGGAAACACTAGATGTCAACATGCATTAACAGCAGTGTTGTTTAAAAGTCGGGGGAGGGGTGGCTACAAGCAAAGCAGGAAGACGGGTGCGAAACCAGGACAGAAAATGGAGGCTTCTAACTGCCATGTCAGGAGGTGTTGGGAATCAGACTGTGGTTGGCAGAGCTCGGAAATATTTTTTTAGATGATTCACACGTTTTCATTACTTTGTTACCCCCATCTGTTTCCCATCAGAAAGCCCTTAAAATGCCTGTTTACTGGAACGGGGCAGTGAGGCAGGAGGATACAGGAAGGCTGTCTGTGCAGCCAGCCTGGGGGCAGGGGGACCCTAAGAGGTTACTGGGGGTCACAGTTTCGGAAAAGAGACAGCAGGTACATTCCTTGTCAATAGGGGATGGAGAGCCAGAGACCAGGCTTGGGACTGAACAGAAGAAATGTGAGCCTCCCTGGGGAGGGTGGAGAGGGAGGGAGGGAGAAAGGGGGAGGGGGGGAGAGAGAGAGAGAGAGAGAGAGAGAGAGAGAGAGAGAGGGAGAGCGCGCGCGAGCTCCAGCAAGCCCTACCTGCCTGCCTACCTACCTAACTGGGGCTTTTCTGATACTGTCCACCAGGAGGCGCTGTTTTCACGTGAGCCCCAAAGCTTGTGAGCAGATAGTAAAGTGGATGGTCCACTCCAACAGCTTAGGGAGTGGGGCATCGCTGGGAGCGGGGCTGGTGCAGACACAGGGTCCTGAGGAAGACCCAGCATCTTCTCCACGTACCCCTTTCCTCCCTGTACTCGGGCTCAGAGCAACCCAGCTCACACTCCCTCCCTCCTGAGGAGGCCTCGAGAAGCAGCTGGGCCTGCTGTCAAGCCCTGCTTCGGGGAGCAGCTGTCTGGCACTCACCCCAACCAGGCTGCCGGGGAGACACGCACGCACTGGCATCGCGGGTGACCTCGTTCTCAGGCCCACAGTGGCTCGCACAGCTGCCCACCAGGCCTGCTCAAAGTGAAACCTCCCCACAGGCCAGGCTGCGGGTGCTCCCGCTGGTATGGCGAGGGCGGGTCTGTGCAGACCCAGAGCCCCTCCCCCGCCACACGGGCAGGGCTTCAGGGCAGGCTGGTCATGCTCCCAGAAGCCACAGATGCTGCCCCAGAGCCATGGGTCGCCTTACAATGAGCAGTGACATCAGCTCAAATGGTCTGAATGCAGCTCCTGCCAAGAGTCCGGGAGGATGCCTGGTGTCCCAGAAGGCCTGTCCCCAAGTATTGTCCCTGGGGACACAAAGGCATCCAGTAAAGACCCAAGGGCCTCACCCTCATGAGGACCTCACTCCTCTTGGGGCTGTCTTGTGAATAGGGACGGAGGAAGTCTTCCCTTGTGGGGTGATCAGGTAGGCCACTGCCCCAGAACGACGCCCCACACTGTCCGGCTCTGCCGCCCTCTGACGGCCTCCTCTTTCCATGTTCCTCTTCTCCAACTCTCCGCTCCGTCAATTCCTCGCCTGTTCTGACTTGGCCAAAGCCCCCTTTCCTGAGTGTCTGTTTTCACTGAGGGGCTGCAGGCTCACTGGGGACAGACGCCATGTCTGCCTGGTTCGCCGTGGCCCCCAGAGCCGGGAGCATTGCCTGGCATGCATGTGCCAGATTTGGGGACCTCGTCAAGGACCAAGTGTTTGCCCATCTCAGCTGCTGCCTCTTCCCTCTCTCACCCACACTACCAAATCGCCATCTCCCAAGGGCATGAACAGCCTTGCTTTTGCAGCTCTCAGTCGTCAGGCCAGTGCCCTGAGAGCCCAGGGCCGTGTATGCACCGCCTCAGCCACATGACCTCCAGGGTCCACCTCCCCATGAATCAACAAGGCACTAGACTCCATCACTGTTTCTCACCTGTTCAAAACTTTACTCCCCCAAATTCCTTCTGAAGCACATCCCCACCAGCCAAAAAGATTGCGTCTGACTTTCTAGTTTTACTTCTAAAATAGTAGTAGATGTTTTGAATATATTGGATATGCTTTCTCAATGAAGCCACAGTCCTCTCCTACCTGAAATTCTAATACTGCTCCAGCGCAGCTGATATTTTTTAATGCTCACATCATCGCCTTTATTCTGGTAACACAGCTCAATTTTCCTTTGGGGCGGGACAATTTCCCAGTTCAGTGTAGTCTTAGAAGGACTGTCGAGATGGGCACACCAGCCTCCAATGCAACCAGCGCTCTCCTCTGGGAAGGTGGTCTCTGAGCTTTGTCCCAGGGACTAAGCATGGTGCTTGCCGACAGTGACATTCCACCCAGGTCCCAGGGTTCTGTTGCTTACAACCAAAAAACCCTAATGGATACGTAACTCTCTCCACTGAGAATAACCGATCTGGATTATACTTGACGTCTCTTTTTACCTCCAACAGCCTGTGATTCCAGTAACCTCACACCAAAAATGACAGGGCATCTAAGTCGAGACTTAAAAGAAGAAGAAGGAAAACCCAAAAGCTATAGAAAGAAGAGGTTTAAAATTCTGTGGCAGACTGCATTATTGCCTAATGGATATTCACTCCCTCCCCTCAATATTGATGGGAGAACCATGTGATACGCTTCAGCCTGTGGGATGTGGGTGGGAGATGGCGCTAGCTCTGAGCCGAGACCTTAAGAGTCCCCCCGTGCTTCTGCACACCTCTGTGGGGGCTTGCAACCTCCCCCATGAGAAGGATAGGTCCTGGGGGGAGGAGAGTTGCATGGAACTGACCCCAAACAACTGCAGATGCATGAGTAAGAAATAGATGTGTGTCGTGAGATTTTACATTTTTTTTTCTTGTTATGCAGCATTACCATGGCAATGACTGACAGATACAGAGTGGCTGTGATTTAAGGCCAATGTCAAGCCTAACAATTTCCAGATTCCTCCAGCCTCGGACTGGGTCAGTGAAAGTCTTACCTGCTACTCTGACCTGGTTGGCGGCACAGGCTTGGCAGGGAAGCACCCGAAACTCCTCCGCCTGGTGCATGGAGTAATCGGTGCTGGCAACGACCAGAACATCTCCAGGTCTCCAGGACTGCACGTTGTCCTCCAGCGTCAGGATGGTGCTGTTGACGTTGGTGTCGATGGTGACGGTGAGTTTGGGCCTCACTGCAACCCAAAACAGGAGGGATTGCAACACAGCCCCGGGCTCTGGGCACACCTGGACTGCCCGCCTCTCGCCTTGCCCTCCCTAAGTAAATGCCAGGTTTGCCTATCCAAAATCCAGGTTGCCCGGCTCACTCCATTTCAGTCTTGGTTCAGGTTTTTGAAGTCAACAAAAGCCCTACCAGAAAAGAGCCATTCATTAGCTCTGGGCAGAGGAATTTTCCATGTGGCTGCCTCACCACACCCACGTCGCCCGAGACGTGAAGCAAATATAGCTCCTCTCACTGTTATTTGCAGTAGCTGTGGGCCTTTCCCCCCACGAACTTCCGTCCCCAGTGGGTGCCTTCTGCGTGGCCAAGAGGCTCCACAAGCACACTGACCCGACCAGCTCCAACCTCTAAGGAGCATCTTGGGAACCAGGTTTGAGACAACAGCTCCCAAAGGGGTGGGGAGCTGTGTCCCTGCAGGGAGGGCTGCCGGAAGGTGGGCTCTGTCCCCTGCACCCTGGCTTGCTTGGACCAGGCCCCTCCCCTTCCAGAGAGGTGGATGCCGAGGTGGGGGGGGGGCTCTGCTGGCCCCTGCCAGCTCCCAGCATCCTCCACTGCTCCTGTGTCAAGGAGTGCTTTGCACTGCCAGTTTGGTGGGAGCTCTGTGTCACTGAGATGCTCGGAGGCAGTGGACCCAGCCATCCAAGCTGGTGACGAGCGGCTGCCAGCTCAAAGGGCCAGGCCACGGTGGCACTGCCATCCCCGGCACGGAGCTGCTTACCAGGCCTCCCACACAGGAACCGCACGCGGTAGCTCCGGCAGGCGTGGCCTCGGCCGTCGTAGCACACAAACCTATAATCCTGGCCCCTTTTGTACACAACCTCGGTGGTGAGGTTGACTCCATCCACTGTCGTGGCCTGGGAACGGCACGGAAATTACAGAGCAAAGTCATTTTGTTTTGTACAGAAGAAAGGTGATGATTAATGCTATAAACATATATCACAAGTCTAAAGTTGTCCCTGCCGCAAGAAGCATGTACAGTGGCCTGAGCCTGCTCCTCCAGCGACTGCCCCCATCCGTGTCCTGAAGCTGTAGGAGGGACACGGCCTCACCTGGGGTCCTCCAGTGCTGCCATCCGGACCACGGATTTCTCGTGCGTTGCCTGGGGAACATTTTGAGGGGAACCTACTACACCAGGCTGGCTACTTACAGCCTGGACCACCACCAGCAGCACATGTACTGAGGACTCACAGGGGCCCACACGTGACTGCACATCACGTGGGAAGTCTTCAAAAGTACTCACGCCCAGGACCCATCCTGGAGCCTCAGGTTTCACTGTGCCTGGCATGTGGCTGCCCAGTGACTCTGATGGGCAGGAAAGCTTGAGAACCGCTCTTGCGGCTACAGGGCTAAGTGTTCACATGTACGGCTCATTCCATCTTTATGACAAACTAGGAGATCTTTGCTTGTTTTACAGATAAGGAAGCTGACACTCAAGGCAGGTTGAGCGGCTTGCCCAGGGTCACAAAGCCAGTGAGGGGCAGAGCCAAAACTTAAATGTGGGCGGGCCCAGCTGCAGGGCTGTGCTTCTCAGCCGCTCCCACTGCTGGCCTCAGGCGCTCCCAGCCTAACGTCATTACTTCAGGGTCTGTCTCCTCCCACTGGATCCTGGGCTCTGAGGAAGCCAAGGACCAAGTTTGTCTGGTCTCCCTGATCCCACATCCAGCCCAGGGCTTGGCACAGGGAGGGGTCTCAGTTGATGGGGGCTGACGGCAGGTAGAGATTTGGGGCAGCAAGCTCAGAGGATGGCTGAGTCCTGCCAGCTGGGGCTCATCCCAGCGCTGGGTGTGTCCGCGGCGGCACTGTGGCTGTCATCGGAGACATGCAATTTACAGTAAGGGCTGCAGCTGCTGTCGTCCTTGGCACAGAGACCAAAGGCACCAGGGCCAGGGAAACAGGGAGGCAAGGGGCAGTCAACCTAAAAGGGGGGCTGCTTTTTAGGAACTACTGTTCTGAACCCAGGAGATATCCCTGTCTTTGGCTTGGAAGGAGAGCTGTGTAGACGCGAGTTCAGCCATAACTGAAACGCAGCTCTTTCCTCAAGCAACACACCATGCCCATTCTCTAGGGTGGTCTGTGCAGCAGCCAGAGAGGCAGGGGCTGCAGACGAGCTCGGAGAGGGAAACGCCAGGGCTCAGAGGGTTTGGAAGCTCAAGGTCACCTCACTGGGCCCAGCACCGTGGATGCCCTGAGGCCAGCGTGTTCTTCAACAGGGGACCCCGTAATGCTGAGAACAGAGCTGAAAACATCAGATGGAGCTGGACATTTTTCAAGGCACAAAATCCAACAACAATTTCAAGGGAACATCTCCTCCTGTTTTCTGCTTTTCCTGTTCTAACCTGGAGAATGACCTCGGTTTTGGATGACAGAGCCAGTGGGCCTCTATCACTGTTCCCTGAAACTGGCCTTCACAGGAAGGAGGCACAGCTGTATTGTAATTCAGGATCACTAATAATTATGAAATAATTAGCAGCGTTACCACACTAATAGTCACACAGCTTTAAAATACAAGATGTAGGCCGGCCGAGTGGCTCAGTTGGTTAAGAGCTCGCTCAAGAGTTTGAGCTCTGAGCAACAGCGGTTCGATGCCCGGCCCGAGCTGAGCAGCCGCTGAGCTGCCAACAGGTAGCAGGATGGCTCAGCTAAAAAAATAAAAAATAAAAAATAAAATAAAATACAAGATGTATGGGGCGCCTCACGGTGGCTCAGGCACTTCATGTATTGTCGTGTTACAGCCACAGTCCCGCGAGGGAACAGTGATGGTCCCCACGTTTGCACGGGAGGAAAGGGAGATGCTGAGTTAAGTCACCTGTGGCCAGGGCTGTGAGGCGGTGCCATGGGTGCAGAATCTAAGGTGGCACGCACTCTCAGGGTCATGCGAAGGCACGGTCAGCGCCCCAGACGGGAAGTACACGTATATGTGTTTTCACCAGCCCCCTGTGCTCTCTGCAGGCTTTCAGTAAAGCCTTCTCTCTTGGACGGACGGGGTCAGTCTTATCTCTGAGATCAGCTGTGTTCTGACACACACAGGGAAGAGCCTGAGTCCATGCTGGGAACACAGCTACAGGAAGAGTGGGCGATGCCTGAGGAGAGCTGTCTTCCTGGCATAGAGAAGTGGGTTCCTGAACAGCCGTGGTCTGCAGCCCGCGCTGGCCAAGCGAGCGCCAGGAGGCCCTGGGAGGATGGGTAAGCATTCGCTGAGGATTTGCAGAGCTGCCTGGGGAGTCTGGTAACAGGCTGGACTTCCTGTAGCCAAGGGAACTGGGAGATAGGGTTATGGCTATGTCATAAGTACAGCTATAAGGTTTGGGGCTGCAAGAGAAAATGAAAATGAAACCTGGGAGCCGTGTGCTTTGGGAGAGTCAGTGTTTTCTGATTCTGTGGGACCCAAGAAGAGCCTACAACTTGCAGCCTTATCTGTCGAAACACTTCTCAGTAACCTTGGAGCCACGTGAAGGGAGATCTGCACCCAGCAGTGAACAAGGTCGCCTCGGCCTGTGCTGCCGCACAACAGTGTCGCCCTGGGGAAAGTGGTTCCCTGTCCACAGGCTTCCACAGCACGAGCCGAGGGCTGCCCAGGGTGGGGACACAGCCCAGCCAGGTGGCCTGCGACCTGAGCCTACGTCATGGGGAGACAGTGTCACACACAGGCAGCTTGCTATTCTTACCCCTGAAGGAGGACAAAATGTGCAGGGGTGCAGATCCTGCGGGAACACTGCCCACCTATGAGAGCTGCCTTTTTCCCAGCTCGGTGCAGAGCAGGCGTGATATGTTCTCCGCCTGGGCGGGGCTCAGCCTGCACCCCATCCCGCTGGACCCAGTGCACTCGAGGTCCCAAAGGGAATCAACTGAGAAGAGACACTGAGCAGGCGGGTTGGGACCCTCAGCCATGGCTGCAGGAGCACGTCAGGGGCAGGAAAGGGACTCGGAAGCAGGATCCGGGAGGGAATGTGAGCCTGACTCTGGGACTCACTAGCCGGGGCCTCTGCAATGGGAATGTCAGCCTCTGGCCCTCCTGTGTTTTACGAGGGCCACGAGGATCACACTGCTCAAGGGGTGACAACGTTGGAGATAGAGAGTCCTCTTCAAAATAAAGCCGTTATAACTATGTGATTATTTTGAGTTGGTACCTGTATATCGAGTGGACGATTGCAGATTCTTCCTGGGTGAGCTGCCCGGAGGTCTGCAATTTTCTCCCCGGCTTTAGCGTACGGCGCTATGTCATGGTCAAACCACTCTGTCCACTCCACATCTAGGGGGAAAGCAAACAGCAGGATCAGACAGGAAGACCCGCGAGGGCAGGCCGTGCTGGCTCAGCACCGGGACTGAGTGCCGTCTGTCCAGGCGGCACCGCGGAGCACCGCTGGCCTGGGAACCATCTGCCAACTGGCCCACCTTTGAATTAAAAACACCTCTTACTGACTTTCTTACTATAAAATATATCACTGCAGAAAGGAGAAAGAGGGAACCCATCTGCCAGCCCCTTACCCCAGCACTGCGGCTCGTCCCCACGGGGTCTCCCTGAAGGCCAGGTCCGAGCCCCGCCTGCATTTCTGGGCAGAGCCACACCCCGGCACACAATAAACATCTCTCTGGCTGCTGGCCACGTGGTTTGGTTAATTAAAGACAAATTTCAGGTGCAACTTTAGTTGACTGTGTGACAGTTGAGGGGTCTTATTTGTGGCAGTAGGAAATCCTTGTACTGTGAAGACAGTGCGTCCCGCCTTCTGTCCCACCATTAAGCTGTCCAGGCTGTCCCCTGCCTCACCTTGAACCCACTCGCTGGACGAGGAAACGTTGAAGTGCTCGCCGTGCTCCGACCGGAACAGTTTGAACACACGGGCAGCGGCAGAGCCGCGATGACCTGTCAGAGAGCAGAGCTTCAGCCACCGACAGACCCCAAGTGCAGAGCCACGTGGCTCCAAGGCAGAGAGAGCCCCCCCCCACCCCCACCCCGCCTCGGGGACCTCGAGCCATTTCTGCCTCTTTAAAATGGAGCAGGAGCTGCCGTCTCAGAGGAACTGCCTGGCTTGTCTCACACCTCAAACTTTTGGAACATTAAAACAGGGCAAAAGAGCCTCCAGCAGGGCTTAAGCATCCTTGTGTTCACAGATAACAAATAAGCAGTTATTGTGACCGCCAGACTGAAAACTGAAAACAATGTTTGAAGTCAGTGTCACTACATTACATTATCGGCACCCATAGCAAGGCCTGCCTTCTGTGGATGTAATTGTCCTCCTTCCGTTTCCCATAAATGCCCCTTGCCTTTGTCCCTAGTGGGAACACCATTTGGGCTTCTGCCTGAATTAATAATTCCCAAATAGCTATTCTTATTGATCTCAAATAAATGCTTGCTGCCTCTCACTGTGAAAGAACTTTTATTTTTAGGTTAACTAAATCAAGGACAGTTTCTCTGAAAAGGTAAACATCCATCTTACTGATGGACCTTCACTCAGCATTGGCTTTTGTCCCTTGGATGTAACACGGCCAGTTAAGTGGCTGGTCACTCCGTGGGTGTTGGGAGGATGGTCGGCCCTGCTCTGAGGGAAGTGGGCGGCTCAGGAAGGGCCTCTCGCCGCCCGCTTATTACCGTGATACTCAATGTGGTCTTCCACGGAGGCAGCAGGATTTCCCTTCACAGTGAGAAAGCTCCACGGGTGTCTGAAATCAACAACAACGACGAGTCAAGTCCTTCGCATGTCGGAGCCTGTGCCGGAGGCAGAGATGATAGAGCCGTGGGTGAGCCGCCCTCGGCGTTTCAGGGAAACGAACTCCAGGCTCCCTTCTCCACAACAGAGGCCTTTCTCTGCAAGCACCGGGTTTCTACCCGCCTGGCTCGCTTGGGGACCGATCCTGCCCGTGTGAGCCTCTCAACTCAGCTCCATCCTGGCCATGAACAAGGCATGGATCACAAATAAACAAGTCCAAAGACCTGCCTACACCCTCAGGTGCAATCAGGTCTGACTCCAAGCGAGAAGGGTTATTCCTCTCAGGCCTGGCTCCCCGAGATGCAAACTCAAGGAAAATGCCGGGCTCAAGAGACTGACGGCCCAGGGATCGGCAAGGGGCCTTGGAAAGCAAGAGGCGCGCGAAGGAGAAAAAGAGGGCGGAAGACTTTGGAAAGTTGCACAGCATCTTCCCTCCGCTGGGGTGTGCCCTGCTACAGAGGAGGCAAGTCTCCTTGGCAGCCCATCTGCCCCTAGGGCCTGAGACAGCCTCTCTCCTCCTGTGGGCTCTCAATAGGTTTTGGTCCTCGGTAGCTGTTACTATTTTGGTTGGATCTCTGACCTTGAAAGTAAGTAAGTCTGTTACTGAGGTTGAGAATTTGACTCTGTCACTCTCTCCCTTAAACCCTTCCATGGCTCCCCGTGTCCCCTTCCTTGGCACAGAGCACCACCCTGCCGCACCTCTCTCGCCGCCCACCCTCGCACACCCACCCCTGGGACTGAGCCTTCTGGTCTCTCCTGGGGCAGCTGTGCGCCCTCATCCTCCCCTGCAGCCCTGAGGGAAGCCCCCTCTGCCTTCCGCGCCCCCTGATTCCTTGTCATCCTCTCCCTGGACCGTCTGCCTCCCCACGACAGCTCGGCGCACCGAGCCCTCACACCAGCATCGGCTCATGACCGCTCCCTGAATGAACGAACAGAATAAGGGTCTAAGTCTTGGTTCTGCTGATTTTAGATGCTCTGAGTTTGTCACTTGAGGTGTGTCTATACAAATGAAGGGAAACAACGTAATTCCTGCCAACCTCATTCCTCTACCTGTGGGAATCGCCATGACGACACACGGCAGGCGTCCATCTTTCCCATGGCTCTTGTTTACAAGGACAGAATTGTTGCTAATGTTTACCAAGTCTGCATTCTGTGCCAGACACACAGCAAATATTTTGTGTTTATTATCACATTTAATCCTCCCAACAATCCTTGGAGATGGCTCCAGATACTTGCCATTTTACAGTTCCGGGAACCATAAGGAGAGGGAGAGTCACTGCCTGCAGTCACACCTAACAGGACGTGCTGTCCAGACTCCAATTCAGGCCCAAACCAATGCCAGAGCTTTGGCCATTCTCATCGCCTTCTGCCGAGGCACTAAGTAGCCAGTCCCCTTGTGCTTCAATCTCTGATTGTAAGGTAAGAAACTGGCCTGTTGGCTTATAAAATAACGAAATGGAAGCGCCCTTGGTTTCTGCTAACAAAGGAGCTGTGAGATACAAAGGTGACATTGTCGTCTTCGGCTGCCTGCATTTCCCACCCAAACCCTTTGAGAAGGAGCAGCTCTGGCAGCTGGAGCACCCTCCCTCGCCCAGACGACCTCGCCCAGCCAGGAAGGCTGCTTTGCTCTGGGCCCAGAAAAGGCTCCAGCCTGACCCCATCTCACCCATGATCTGCAAACAGTCACAGGACAGGTGGCCACAACTTGCCACTGAGCTGAGACCTGATCCAACATGATAAAAAGGTGTGGCCACTGTGGGGCAAACAGTTTCCTCGCGCTGCCAATGTGTGTGTGTGCCAAAGTCGGGCGTGATGCTGCAGCCACCAGAACACACAATGGAGGCACAAGGCGCCCTTCCCTGGGGTGCTGGGTGGGGCACACTGGGACCCTTTTGCCACAGAAAGAGAAAGTGAACATTAGCTGACATCTGAGGCTCCGGTAATACTCTGTACATGGCTGACTGAATGGAGGGGTTCCCATGATGGAGACCTTGGCATTTTCAGAGTGGCATGTGCTCCTAAGGAATCCCAGGCTCCCTTCAGAACAAGCCCCACTGTGTCCCATGCAGGTGGAGAATACCTTTATCTCCCTAAGTCACCACTGGGGCTGGTGTGGCCCTGTGGGAAGGGAAACTCTGTGGGGAAAGGGCTGCTGCAGCAGGCTGGAGCCCGGTGGAGGTGGGGTGATGGGCAGTACCTGAACCCAAGGTGTAGGAAGTGTTTGCTGCCCAGTTTGGTCATGACTTTCCTGGCCGAGTCATCCAGGTTTCGGGACCCTTCGTCATTCACCGCGACAGACAGGATCCTGCCATTGGGCACTGCGTTCAGATACTGGACCAGACGTTCGCTCTCCTTTTTGAATCTATAGGTGTCAAACCTAAAAAGGGCAGAAAGAGGGGGTTTTCATAGTCCCAACAGCAGCCAAAGAAGAGAGTGAAGCTCCCATCTGTGCTGAAACAACCAACATGCCACCCAAAGGTCCCAAGGGCTCTGACTATTAGTAAAAGGCATTTTTATTACAGCAAACACCGATCATCTCAAGCTCGACCCAGATAACCCACCTTCATCCACATAAAATACCTCAAAAAAATCTATACCACTGGTGACAAGAATTTACAGAGGAAAGACACAATTTTGTAACGATCCCAGCTCTCCCCCATGTAACTATAAAGATTTTGTGCAATTCCAGTGGAAATTCCAAAAGAATTTTTCTTGGGGCTTAACAAGCAAAATAGTTCTAAAATGAATCTAGAAAAATAAACTAGTGTGAAAAGCCAAGATTTTGGAAAAGAAAAACAGTGGTGGTGGCGGGCGCGGGGCGGTTAGCGGGATAGGTGCTTCTGAGTCATTGTTTCCCAGTGTTTGCATGTCCTGGTCCGACCCGCCAAAGCCCGTCATTGCCCACAGCCCCTCCCCAGGAATCAGTGCCGGCAAGTCCAGTATCTCCGCGCCCTCTGACCACACCACATGCCCACCCCTGCCTTCATTCTTCCACACCTCCTGTCTACCCAAGCAAATGTTTACTACCTTTCAAGAACCGATCTCTGTTCTTATCCCTCCAGGTAACCTCCTCAGGTGACTGTAGCCCACATTTGTGCATGTGTGTGTGTTTAGTGTTACTTTACTCCAACACATTCAGCTACCAGATTACACATTAAGCAAAGGAGATTGGGAGGGAGCAGGCATTCTCTTTGGAACCTCCACAGCAGCTGACTGGAAAACTTCTCCTTCCCAATAATGAATTTATCTGAAGGTTGGCTTGATGCATACTGTACTGACTTAAGAAGCAGTGCCACGGAGTCAGCACAGGACTGGGGAGACTGCCCCGTTCTGTGTGACGGTAGGGGCTCTCCGACAAGTGTGGTGTCAATCATGCTCATCGTGGCCTCCATTGTCCCCTGCAGGCTGGGGCTTGCTCAACCCCAGGCCCAGGCAGAGGGCTGCCACCAGCACATCCATGGCGGCAATACAGTGGTTATGGGTCTGGGCAGATCTGGGATTGAATCCCAGCTCCCACACTTACTAGCTTTGTGACTCTGAGCGAATTTAGCCCCTCTGAGCCTCAGTGTTAGCATCTGTGTAATATAATAATATAATAATAAATAAATAAATAAATAAATAAAATAAACGAAAGAGAGGAAGTGACAACTGACACCACAGATATACAAACAACTGTAAGAGAATACTATGAACAATTACACACCAACAAATTGGACAACCTAGAAGAAATGGATAAATTCCTAGAAACATAATCATCCAAGTCTGAATCAGGAAGAAACAACAAAACTGAACAGACCGATTACTAGAAAAGAAATTTAATCAGTAATCAAAAAACTCCTTACAAACAAAAGTCCAGGACCAGATAACTACACAGGTAAATTCTACCAAGCATTCAAAGAATTAATACCTAAGAAAAAAGAAAGAAAAAAGGGGGAAACAAATCAATACCCATCCTTCTCAAACTATTCCAAATAACTGAAGAATAGGAGACGCTCCCAAACTCAGTACAGGTAAAAGACCTGTACTTAGAAAACTATAAGACATTGAGGAAAGAAACTGAAAAAGATACAAATAAATGGAAGCATATACCATGCTCATGAATAAGAAGAACTAATATTGTTAAAATGCCCATACTATCCAAAATAATCTACAGGTTCAGTGCAATCTCTACCAAAATACCAATGGCATTTTTCACAGAACTAGAACAAATAATCCTGAGATTTATATGGAACCACAAGAGATCCTGAATAACCACAGCAATCTTGAGAAGGAAGAACAAAGTTGGAAGCATCACGTTACCTGATATCAAACTACACTAGAAGACCAGAGTCATCAAAACAGCATGGTACTGGCAGAAAAACAGACACATGGATCAATGGAGCAGAATAGAGAGCCCAGAATAAACCCACACCTCTACTATCATGTAATTGATGACAGGAGAGGCAAGAATATGCAACGGGGTGAAGACAGTCTCTTCAATAACTAGGTTGGGGAAACTGGACAGATACATTGAAAAAGATGAAACTAGACCACTTTCTTACATCACGTACAAGAATAAACTCAAAATGGGTTACATGCTTACATGTAAGACCTGAAACCATAAAATTCCTAGAAGAAAACACAGGCAGTAAACAGTACATTGCGCTTAGCAGCATTTTTTTGTAGTCATAACTATATCTCCTTGGGCAAGGGAAGCAAAAGAAAAGATAAACAAATGGGACTACATCAAACTAAAAAGGTTTTGCACAGTGGAAGGGAACCATCCACAAAATAAGAAGACAACCTACTGAATGGAAAAAATACTCGCCGATGATACATATGATAAGGGGTTAGCATCCAAATTATATAAGGAACTCATATAACTTAACACCAAAAAAACAAACAATCCAATTAAAAAATGGACAGAAGACCTGAACAGACATTTCTCCAAAGAGGACATACAGATGGCCAACAGACATATGAAAAGATGCTGAAGGTCACTAATCATCAGGGAAATGCAAATTAAAACCACAATGAACTATCACCTCACAACTGTCAGGATGACATCATCAATAAACCAACAAGAGTTGGCGAGAATGTGGAGAAAAGGGCGCCCTCGTGCACTGTAGGAGGGGTTGCAGACTGGACAGCTAACGACAACTTTAACACGGGCCACCCCATGAAGGCATGCCCTCAAGTGCACCCTGAATGTGAGGGTCTTCACACACCTTCATGGCAGGGCCAAGTCCCAGCCTTACAGACAAGGTCCACCACCACAGGGACCAAGCTCAAACCAGATGAAGGGTCCCTTCCCTGGGGTGCCTCATGTAGACAAGTGGAGACCAAAAAACCCAAACCCAAATCTCTGACTTGAAAACAAAAGGAGACAGAAATCCTTGACCCGAGTCTCCCACTCACACAAGTGGACACAGTCAGCAGAGGGCCACTTGACTCTTACTATTTATAAAATTTGGGCCCCTGGTTACCCACGGGTCATCCATCCCAGCAGATAAATTCCATCTCGGGGTCCCCATCAAATGACTCTTTCTTCTCGGGGTGAGCACACCCTTTGGGGCAGGAGAGACGGCATCTACGACAGCGGTCCCATACATTATAACGAAGCTGAATATTCCCACCACCTTTACGTCGTAGCTGTCGTAAAGGAGCAGCCACGGGAATACCGTGGTCACAAAGCATCGCCCAGGCATCTGGGGACAGCAGCTACGGCTGTGTACAGTACATACTTGATAATGATAATCAACGGCCATGTCACAAGTTTATGTATCTACTACAATTTTATCATTATTTTAAGACTCTTTCTACTTGTAGAAGAAAGTCTGCTGTGAAACGGTATGCCATGTTACACCAGCAACAGCCTCACACATCTCGTGTTTACATCTCTTGGTGGCACCTTCCTCTCTTGTGCTTGATTTAATCTCATGATGTTTGAAAAATGTAGTGTCACCTAAGTGCACAGTGTTTATAAAGCCTGCTGGTGTGCACAGTCCCGTCCCAGGCCTTCACACCCACCCACCCACCCAGAGCAACTTCCGGTGGAGCGAGCCCCGTTCCTGGCGAGTGCCCTGTCCAGGTGCACCGTTGTTTAGCGTTGACACCGTATTTTCGCTGTGCCTTTTCTGCGATTGGACACACACCACCATGTGACAGCTGCCTGCACTCCTCAGTCGTCACACGCCATACAGGCTGGCAGCCCAGGTGTGTGGTGGGCCACCAGCTGGGTGTGTGGCGTTCACACAAGCACGCAGTCACTAACGACGCTTTCTCGGAACACACCCGTCGCTGAGTGACTCATGACTGCATTGCCTGCTGCGTCCCCATCGCTTTCTGCACTCCCACCTGTCTGCTGGCATTTCCGTGTCAGAGAGCACCACACCCTTTGTCACCTCTGGCCCTTCGCACTTGCTGCTCTGTCCTGAACGCCTTCCCTGACTCAGCCTCGCCCTGCTGCTCTCAGCACAAATGCTGCTTCCTTGCCCTGCCCAGGCCACTTGATGTGAAGTGAGTAGTCTTCCTTAGTGACTCTATCACTCACTGTTTTTTTCCCTAGTTACAGGTTATCACAATCTGAAGTTATGATGTCTGTGCACGTATGTGCAGGTGTGTACACGTGTGCTCGTGCCTGCGAATCTAGCTTCATCGGGCCAAAGTCTGGGGAGAGAGCGGCACGGCTCCCTGAGGTCAGGGACTTCGGTCTGTCTCACTCGCTGCACCACCCCAAGCAGTGAGTAGGAGCATGAGCTCAGTAAATTTGTATGAAATGAAGGGGTCTATGTTTAAGTGAAGAGGAACCTTACCGGTCGGAATGGATGACTGTCCCTGATTTAGGGTCGATGACATGAACGATGACACCACGGTGACCCCAGCTCCTTTCAAAGAAATAGCCTCCCTCCTCCATGCCACCTGGGTGAAGGGTCTTGTTCAGAAACGTCCAAGAGAGCTTCTTCTGTCCGTGCAACTCCAGGGTGCCTCCTCTGTCAACACCAATGTACTTCCGGCCAAAGTAAGGGTCCGGCTGAACACCGTCGTCAGCCCTACGAGAGAAGACAGTTCTCCAGGTCGGCCAACGCCTCTTGTTGCGGGACACTGAGCCCAGAGGGGATTCCACAGAGCCGGCCACACTTGGTGATCTCACGGGGTCAGTAGAAACAGCCTTACCACCAGATCTTCCTAAGCCAGACCACAGCGCAGCCAAAACGCCAAGCGTGAGCTCGTGTGGTGGCCCTTCTTTTTGGTTCCACATATCTGACATTTTGGTCTGTAGCACATGTGGAATCGCCTAGACACGAACGGTCCACCCCTGCATAGTTCTGGCTACCACCGCTTAGAATTCCCAATTGCTTGACAAGGGAGCAGGGCCAGAGGCAAACACTGCATGGAATTTTTCTTTATCTTGTCCATCGTACTAATTAAACACACACTCCCAGAGCCTCGCTGAGCGTGCTGTGATTGGGAGGCAACTGAAAGGCTGGCAGGGACTTCTGTACTTCAGTATGGATCGAGGTCACAACAGCAAAATCCCCGTGTGCCTCTACAGCTCGCCCATCCCCGGGGTCTGTCGTGGGCATGCCTATGGCCTGGCAGTGCCTACCAAAAACTCGGCTCTGCACTAAAGCCTGGCTGTCTTGCCCACTTGTCTCCTTTAAAAAGCCTCCCTCCCATCAGATCCAAGAGAAGCACTTGACCCATGGAAGCTGTCCACCCACCTTCCATACAAAACGATGCTGAAATTGCCCTGGAAAGGACAGAAGGCACTCCCAGCATGAAACTCTCCTCCGCTGTCAATCAGGATGTGCTGGGTGCGCAAAACAATGGTCTCGTCTTGGTCCTTAATGACCAGCTTTCCTGAGGAGATAGGAATGGGGTGAGCTTTGAGAACACGAATGGTGGGGTTGAGGTTATGGCAGAGCCAAGGGCAGGGGTCCGAGGCCCCCATCTCATCCCAGCAGGTGAGGAGCACAGTGTTCAAACACTTGTGCGTGCTGTGCTCACGAGCGCTTCTTTCTCGTCTCCACCTTACAATGTGGGAACAACGCCTGCTTGCTTTACTGCCATCACTGCATGCACAGCATTCAATGAGCAAGCATTGGAAGGCAAGGTAAGCTGGAAGGCTCAGAGCGCCAGTAAGGGTTTGTTCTACCAATGCTTCTTTCACTACGATTGGACCTCAGACAAGCCACTCCTAAGTGCTCAGAGCCCACGGTTGTCTCATACAACCAGAAGCTCTGACATGCACCCAAAGCAAGTGACCTATGCTCCGTCCATCTCAAGTGATGGCAACCTGCAGCCCATCGGTGAGGCTCAAGGGGAGAGAGAGAGGGAGAGACTGGCTTACCTCCCTCTGAGATGTGGATGGAGTGGACGGTGGCAGACGAGGTTAGCAGCAGGGCTCTGCCCTGGCCAATGTACACACGGTTGTCCCGGTCATGGCCAGGGTTCCAGGGCTGCAGCTCAGGGTTCTGGTCAGGACACTCGGCTGCGACTGTCCAGGAGAGAGAGATGTTACGGTTGCCACCTACCACCCACCAAACAAGACTGCCACAGATCCCAGGAGGGGCTCCCAGGCACCTTCGCAGCTCTGCACTCTTCACTAGAGCTAAAAGCAAGGCCTTAGACAACAAGGAGACCCCTGGTACAGGAGCCAGGAGCCCCGGGGTCCAGGCCCACGTCTTTTGTTAATTCATCACATGTCTGTGAAAAAGTCACTTCCCTCTTCTGGGCTCAATGTGTCCATTTATCAAAGGAACGGCAGACCAGATGACTCCTCAGCTATCCCAAGACCTAAAGACAGGCAGTGATTCACCCCAGATTACTTGTATTCTAAGACATCTGTCCTCGGAAAAGCAGTGTTTGAAGAGTTACCAAACCCTTTGCCCCTTGTGCATGAGAATTTGACTTCTAGTCAATTTTCCACCTCTGTTCCCCTGGAAACCTGAGAGAGGTGGTATTCGGTTAACTGTTACCAAGCGTTACCGCTTACAACAAAAGCGACCCCCGATTAGCAAACGGTGTCTAAACTGGAAGGAACCACACAGAATTTACGTTCCTCCCTGGCGGACAGCATGGCACAGGCTTCCCGGAGTGCAGTGACTCTCGTCACTGGGCATGTCCCCTTCAGGAACCCTGCAAGTTACGGCTGTGGAGCTGCTACAAGAGACACTGGCATTGATGGGGCCCAAGACTTCTAAGCCAGGGCAGTCCCCACACCTGTTCAAGGACAGTCTGTCTCCTCTCTCCTGAGGCACCTGGGCAGCCAGAGGACAGCTTCTGGACGGCTCTGTGGAAGGCAGCCTGATGCTGCCCCGACGGCTGTTTCTGTCCTAGTGTGGCCCCTGGGCGCCTCGTGAGTCTGAGCGGCTGGCTGAGCTAAAAGCCCCATCGGGGTGTGGCAGGGGCACTTCTCCCGACCCCAGCAGCCCTAGGAGTCTCCTGTCCAGGTGGCAATAAGGCTCCCTCTGATCCAGCAGTGACCACAGATGCTGGAGCGGGGAGGGCTGTCTCAGAAACAGGAAGAACCTCCCTGGGTACCAAGGAAAAACCCAGAAGGAGAGAACGAGTTGTGCAGAGAACAAGCCCAGTGCTCTCTTTTTCTGTCACTGGAAAGTTGTAAGAAATGAAACTGCAGGTTTTTCAATAACTTGGGGTGGGGTGAGAGGCACAGGTGAACCCGCAGCAGGGGCGCAGTTTCAGCTGGCAGTAGGCGCTGGACAGCACGGAAGCCTAAGGGACGTTATGCCTCAAGCAGAGCGGGAGCTGAGGACGGTGCCCACGAGGAGGGATTCTGGCTATGGGGCCATTATCAGCATGTAAGTTCCAAGCGTTACTTGATCTCTACTCAGCTGCTTCTGAAGGTAAGGGAGTCTGTCCCATGTTTATGTATCTCAAGAGAACTGGAAGGAAGTTGCCCCTTTCCCTCCATTCAACAGCCCAGACATGGTCCTCTACCCCCATCATACCATCTTCTCTGTCCATCTGAAGGCAGCGCCTGGCCCGTCCGTCCCCTCGAAGTGCAAGTGTGGGCGCTCGGTGCGTCTGCCAAGCCTCATGCGCCCTCCCACCCCAGCCCTGCAGCGCCCGCCTCACGCCCACACCAGCCTCGCGCTCAGCCCTGACTCGGGCCTTGGCTCTCCGTCACTCAGAAGAGAATCTCATGCCTCTTGCTTTACTAAAGCAGCTCTTCCAGATGTTGTAAACCCCAAAGGACTCAATCAATGGCAAACAACAAAAAATGTGGTCTTGCTCATCAGCGGACTTTCTGTTTTTATGTAACAGCAGGGCTGCCAGGATGACTGGAGGGGCTGCGTCAGCCCACGTGGTCACCAGGGCTCTGGAGCCTCTGTCCCACTGAGGGGCTTGAGGTCAGTGCCTGTCCCTGGGTTTGTCTTCAGATGGGTCACATGAGGGCTGGCTCTCAGCAGAGGCCAACCAGAGGCCCTGGGCTGCCCTCCACCTAGTCCTGGACCTCGGGTGTCCTTCTCCAGGGAGGCAACTCCCAGCCACGCAGGGAGCCCGGGGGGGTCAGGCAGAGCCATGAGTAGGCTGAGAGGGACTCCTTCCCACTCCAACGGACACAGCCCAGGGTCTCACCACCCGTATCTCCCAGGGCAATGCTGACGGGCCCATCACTCTCCAAGTGCACTGGGTTTGGAGGGGCTCAGCCTGGCCCTGCGGGCTCTTCTGTCATTGGGAGCATGCGTCCCAGAGCTCCAGCAGCTCTGACACCACACTGAAAGCACGGGGTCACAAGACTGGTCTCGCACGAATGGACCTTCGCTGGAGACCAACAGTTTGCTCTCGGTAAAGGTCGGCTTCAGTGGGCTTTCGTGTGTATGAACGAGGGAGTGGCTGGAAATGGTCCCGGCCTTCACTGAACTGTCACCATGGCAACCGCCCTTCCCAGGAGGGGCCGCAGGAAGCGGGATGGAGAGTGAATGAAAGCCCGACCTACTTGGACCATGACTGGCCGGGGTTGGCAGCTGCAAACCTCTGACGTCAAAAAGAAGCACAGGCCAGAGGGAGGCAGAGGCACAGCATCCTTCCCAAATGGTATGAGGGAGACCCAGGATGTGGGGGGCAGGGTACACCCAGGGCAGTGCCTGATGAGACCGCCCCACTAAAAGAGAAACCCAAACTGAACTCCTGGCACGGAGTCAATGCCCCCTTGGTGTTTATTAAGTCAATAACTGACAGGTGGGCACATGCATCAATTCAGGCAAGTCTGTCAATTGTTGCATCGAGTGGTAAAACGTGGATAGCTTGCTTGGGTGATCCTAAGGGTCAGAAAGGAATCACAAGAAGGAATGTCGCCATGTATAATTAGAGATTACCTCCATGCTGAGAAAAACAAAATATAACTCAACATCAGGCCCTTTATTCTTATTGTAGAAGAGCATCCAGCTCAGTTAATAACTTAAAAAAAAAACAATAACTATCAATGGTGATCGTTATCACTACTGAACCTCTGTTCAAAATTTAAAAATGATCCCCAATCGCTCACCTCCGCCTCTAGCTTGGTTTAGTGAATTGTGGTTTTCTGTGCCCAGGCAAACTCGCCTTGTGTTTCTGGATGTTAATTCAAAGCCACGCAAAGAAAAAGTTGACATTGAGATCAAAACAACATCCAACCTCGCTTAGAACACACACACTTCATGCACCAGACCTTACGGTGCTCAAGTGGGAAGGGAACACCGGGGTCAGGTGGCTTAGGGGCGGCAAGCGGGCTGGCAGATACGCGATCCTGCCTGGCAGATACATGTTCCTACCTGGCAGGTACGAGTTCCTACCTGGCAGATATGCATTCCTACCTGGCCCCCAGGCTGGTTTGTAAAATTGGATTTGGTCGCCAACATTTAACAAGCAGGGAGCTTTTACATTAAAATCTACATTTCCGGTTTCTCTTAAAAATTCACAAGATCCTGCAACAGGGGCCCCACCTTCACACAGGGCAGCAACTGGCCAGAAGCGGGTGTCCCTTCAGAGGAGGCAGGACTTCCCAGGTGACCACAGTCCCTACGTGGCTAGCTTCACTGGTTTATGTCACATGCCTGGCTCTGCAGACACCGAGTCTAGTCCGAACCCCTCATTATGTGGACAAGGCTGAAGCCCAGGATGA